TTATCTGTTTCTTCCTAAAGTTGAGGTCCAAAAGAGGTTTGTGTATCGGGATATTGAAATCTTTACTTGCTGGATAATTTTCTCATCACAACTTGATCCTTAGCAAACTTTGAGCAGCGTAATTAAGCATCATATCTCGTAACTTCTTTTCTGCGTCTCCGGGCCATTTAGCATGGGCATATTTCATCTCAATATAACCTTTAGCAAATTAGGCAATCCTAACCCAGAGTATTGTCCGATGGGATACCAGTAATTGGAAATGTATTTCAGCTATCTGCGTAAATGTGATCTTCAGATTACGCCATTTTCGACAGAACGCCCTATATATTTACGACAATGTGTCCTTATTGCTATAACAAATGTCCATTGAATCTTTGGTAAAAAAGTGTAGTCAGTAGACAGATTTGGTGTGTAATAAGTCAGAATGTCTATTCCTGTAATGCTTCTTTGCCCCCGATGTCAACACTCTGTCTGCGACTGGCTTGAACCGTTAAGATTTAATAGAACTTAACAAAATGACATCATTAAGGTCAGACATTTTGCGGCTGTGTTGACTTCAGTACGCCTTACAAAATGATGTTTGATATATACAAATGCAATGAAGCATATTTCGCCAGGATTGGTTGATTGGTTCATTGTTTGGTTGATTGGCTTGTTGTTTCACACTGCACTGTTTAACACCGTTGTTCAACACCAGCAACATTCCAGCTGTATGGCGGCGGTCTATAAATAATCGAGTCTGGACTAGACAATCCAGTGATCAACATCATGAACATCGATGACATGTGTCAACCAAGCCAGCGAACCTGACCAGCCGATCTCGTTAGTCGCCTCTTGCGACAAGCATGGGTTACTGAAGACAAATTCTAACCCGGATCTTCACGTGTTATTTCGTAAAGAACAGACATCTGAACCGTCCTTGCCATAATAACGAAATGATGCTATTTTAACATTTAATGATGACTAATGAAAACACTATGTCATGTAATGATATATAATAGGAAATGGGTCGATTCCATAGCCGTATCACCTACCACTAGTATGGCAACAATTTGAAGCACACAGTCACATTCGGTCCCCACTCGAACACGTAGAATAACTCATTAAGATGGGAACTATATTAATCTTTACATAGTCTGGAAATATAGAAATAGTAATTGATAATGAAATCAAAGACAGAATATGAATTCAAAGGAGGCGAAATGGGATCTCTGACGTTAATGTCAATCATTTGGTTCAAACAGGGCTTGACGACGCTATGTTCATGGTTTATGCCTCACAAAGATTTATGGTGATTTCGTAAATTGTAAACCAAATGTTTGAGATGTTTTATCAATTCCAGCCATCAAGAGCGTATCACCTAGCACAATGGGCCATGTGTTTCGGGGAAGCATCAATCACACGGCATGTTAATACGGTGGAGTCATGCCTATTCATGTACATTATCTGTCGTATAATGTGCTTCAGTAGGAGACAAGACAACCCGGGGAATCCCCCAGGGCGATCTGGGTTGTCGTACACCGGCATATCTCGCATATCAGCTTCTACAGTGCTGTGGGTGAAACTCTGCGATATGGGGCTGTGGGTTATTACACCCAGGGGGAAATGTACACGGTACTGACAGCATGAACTTATATACTCAGTGTTCAGCGTCATTTCTCAATGGTCACCAAAGTATGGGTGTCTTACAATGAAAACATGTAACAATGCGTTACCAGGTCTGGGCATTTAGACAATGTAATTAACATGTGAAGGACATGGTGCTTATGTTTGGTACACACACCACGCGTCTGAACACAAGCAGTGGTTCAGCTCATGTACGTCCAATACATGGCGAGTAACAGTCAGTGTGGGTATCAAATGGTTCATCCCCATGAAATGCGCTTTTAGTAGTTGAAAATGCGATAGTTTTCTCTTACCATCTTACTATCATGTTTACCTACTACTATCGCTTTTATCCCTCAATATGTTACTATCAGTTTTGTCTCTAGCTGTTACTTTTATCTCTGACTATCTGCAGGAGCCCGAATTAATGATGAACCGAGTATATATAACTGACTGACTGAGTTTTGGTTTTACGCCGCTTTTAGCAATATTCCAGCAACATCACGGCGAGGGACACCAGAAATGGGCTTCACACATTGTACCCATGTGGGGATTCGAACCCGGGTCTTTGGCGTGACGAGCCAACGCTTTAACCACTAGGCTACCCCACAGCCCGAGTATATATAAGAAACTTTCGTAAGCATATGTTTTCAGAAAATCATCAAAATGATTTCTGGTTCTTTTCTCAGTCGATTCCGCTTCATAACACCTCATCAGGTTATGTTTTTGACCATTCCTGTGTAAGTGGGTTTCACCATAGAGGGAAACGTCTAAGACCTGCACCACTATGGGTTTCAGCCTCCATCCAGCTGACAGTGAGATCATATATAAAATGTTGTTAAAAACAGAGCTAAACAAATTCACTCACTCACTTACAACTACACTTTGCCAGTGCTTCTCCCGTAACATTACAACATAGGAGGTACTCGGGGGTGGACTGACAGCAATACCATGGCGTAGAACGCAAACCGGGTGAAAAGTGAAACCATGTAGGGAATCGAACCCGAATTTATGACACAAACACTGGCCCATCAAAACATCTGACAATCATATGATTGTATATCTGTCATACCTGGATATCGGGCTCTACTGATTGCGCTCTTCTTGACTAATCAATTAACACAACCGAATAAGACGTTAAGAAATATAGAGAATATAACGAACAGGCGGATATGATGAACACATCGCCCAGCAACAGTCACCAGCGTTTATGCAATCTTAGAATTGTTAATGAACGTGACAGTAAAGGACCCTTGGACTTAGACACATTCGGAATTTACAATGCTTTACATTAACTAATTCGACACGGGCCTGCAACCTCAAACAGCAAGAGCTACCGGAATCACACCAGCTCTGCGCGAGATATGTTGGTGTCAAGAGAGATGCATGGCATAAATGCCACTGTAGTGTATCAGTAAGGTATGACATCGTCATTGTTTGGTATGAAAGTCATCATGAAAAACCTACCTACCCTTGGGGCAGGAGCATATTAACATAATATAACACATGGTAGTGTTTGGCGTAATTGAACTACACCCGGGGTGGGGGCGGTGGGGTAGCCTAGTGGTTAAAGCGTTAGCTCGTCACGCCGAAGACGAGCGATTCCCCACATGGGTACAATGTGTGAAGCCTGTTTCTGGTGTCCCCCGTCGTGATATTGCGTGCATATTGCTAAAAGCGGCGTAAAACCAAACTCACTCACTCACACCCTTGTGGTGGAAGTATAATTACTAACCTTCCCGAGCCACTTTGGCTATCAATGTTGAAGTTAGCTATGAAGATATTACAACGACACATTAATTCCGCGCGTTGACAGAGAATGCAATCCTTGATTAAAATATATTGGTCGTATATCTAAGCCCGGTAGCCATATTTCCAGCAACGTGAGAATACAACTCGCAATTATTTACCCCAGTAATCCTCACAAGTGAATTAGTATAATCACCGGATCGTGGATCAAGCAGCTGACAACAACGCCAATCGTTAACACAATCTCCCGTCACATTCCTGTCTGTATTTCTAAGACCTAATTCACTTTTGAATGAAGTCACAGGCGATATTATGTATGCCGGGTAGAAATCTATTTCAACGGCTACCGTGTTCATAACAATTACGGATGTGTTTGCCTCCCTATGCCATTGTAAATTCACCGCCTCAGGCATGTTCATTTCAAGCGGAACATGTCATTTACATCTCACTAGTAATCTTCTTCGTGCATTCATACCAACCACGTGGTAAAATATAACAGCTTGACCCAATGTCCAGGCTGTTATTTTGGCCAATAAATCCCGTTTCTTTAACCGAGAAATACCAGGGTCAAGAAATGGCCAGTGGTCATTTGGGAAGGTAATGTGTCTTTGTCATAGGGTGGTGTAATAAACTAACAGTTGCTTTGTTCACTGGGCTTGGGGCGATCATCTGTCAGTCATTGTTGATTGACATATTGACAATATGGATATGTGTAATATGCGTGACATGTAAATAAACAAATTATCAACAACAATGTATCTGACAGATTATGGGAATTTTAAAAAATGTGTATAATAGGACACATACGATCAATAATAATCAATGAATTATAGCTATTATATTTGTAGTTCCCACTGTAAAATATAATCACAAGGCCAAACAGGCAAGGATCAGTTGTGTAATAGATAAATATCTACTGTCTATCTGCAAATTATCTTTGAATGACAGTTGATTTATTTAACCAATAGATAAATGATAATATTTCACGACGAACTGTCCAGTATGCGCGTAATGAAACACAATTCATGGATTTCGACAATATGAAACACGAGTTATGCAACTCTACAATATGAAACACGAGTTAAACATGTCCACAATATGAAACAGGAGTTATACATGTATACAATATGAAACACGAGTTAAACATGTCTACAATATGAAACACGAGTTATACATGTATACAATATGAAACACGAGTTATACATGGTTAAACATGTTAAACATGTATACAATATGAAACACGAGTTATACATGTATACAATATGAAACACGAGTTAAACATGTATACAATATGAAACACGAGTTATACATGTATACAATATGAAACACGAGTTATACATGTATACAATATGAAACACGAGTTATGCATGTATACAATATGAAACACGGGTTAAACATGTCCACAATATGAAACACGAGTTATGCATGTATACAATATGAAACACGGATTATACAGTTCTACAATTATATTATATGACCCACGATGTATGAAATCTGAACCACGAGTTGTACATGTATACAATATGAAACACGAGTTATACATGTATACAATATGAAACACCAGTTATACATGTGTACAATATGAAACACTGGTTACACAACGGGACCCAATCGCCCAGACCAAAACATAAAGTATCAACACTCACCGGTTACGATTCAAATCTTGTAATATCCAAATCAGAACAGCAAACTAGTATCCCATAGACGTTCCCTCCTCTAGTACAGCAATGAGACCAGCTCTGCTCACGAACACTAGTTCACCGTCACAGAATAACAACTCCACAGGTAAGTCTCGACAGGTAAGTCACAACAGGTGATCTCTGGTGATCTCAACAAGTTACGTACATTTATACCTTCCTACTTCACTTGTGTTCTTTACAAAACCATCCACTGTGACACACACGAAGTTTATAAGGTGTTCCACGCGAGAGAATATTTCAACATTCCGTGAGGGATGAAAACCTGCCAGAACTCTGTAGACCCACCCAGACCTGTTCCGCCAAGCCCGTGGGTTCACTGAAGAAGGGTTTACAGCTATCACAGACAACCGCTCAGAAGCTCCTTGTTCGACCGGCACACAACCGAATCTTTCAGGACGAAATACTACCCAATCTAGTAGTGTTTAAGCGTCCGGGGCAGTGAGCTAGCGCTGAATCGCGATGGGATGACACATGACGCCGCTGTTAATCGTTATGTAGGTGGTGCGTTCGGTTGGAACGACTGTACCTGCCTGTCACGCATATTAGACATTGAGGCTGGATTGACAATGGGTTGGGTAAGACAGGGTTTCTGGTATTCTGAGGATTGTGTTTAAAATAAATGAAAGGTAAAGTACGGGTCATCGACAGCGGTTGATGTCTCCATGAAAGGAACCCTCGACGTTAGCGAGGCAATATAGTTATGTAACAAGTCCATTGAGAGATATCACTCCGAGAGGAACCGGTTTCCGCAGCTTGTACATCCATAGCACGGCTGGAAACACCAAGAATGGGTTTCAGATACACATTGGGTCCAGGGATACGACCCCATAACTCCTCCGTATCACAGTCACCGACTTGGTCACCCACCAGGTAATTGGAAGAAAAACTATTCATGTTATATATCAGGTAAATACAAATAAACACACACACACACACACACACACACACACACACACACACACACACACAGACACACACACACACACACACAGACAGAGAGACACACACACAGACAGAGAGAGAGACACACACACAGAAACACACAGACAGACAGACAGTCGAGTCCCGCACGCCCGCACACATACATAAAGAGAGAGAGAGTGTGTGTGTGTGTGTGTGTGTGTGTGTATGCGTGCGACTATGTGTGTTTGTATTTATCTCATATGAAATATGAAAAGTTTGTGTGTGTGTGTGTGTGTGCGTGTGTGAAATGCATATCTTGCACGCCGACTTTGGTATGATGTTGACAAACATCAAATAATCAGAGAAGAATCTGAGATTCGAACCCAGGATTGCAGATTCTGGCGTATCTACGGGACACAACTCTGCCTAAACATGCTCTCTATACAATAAACACATGTATATCTGGTGGAAGTTGATGTCCACAGCCTTATCCCAATGATCGGACATATGTCACGTGACTCTATCACCGTCATAATGTTTAAGCCGAGAACCATACAACAAAACGTCAGACCGTCGAAAATACTGCGTCACAGAGGTAAATTTTTCTCCCGTTTATGATAGACTGCTTACTACTTACAGTGATCGCCTCCGTGGTGTAGTGGTTAGAGCGTCCACCCGGAGAGAGGAAGATCGCGGGTTCGATCCCCGACCGCGTTTATACCAAAAGACGTTAAAAATATGGTACTTGTTGTTCCGTGCCTGGCGCTCGGCATTAATGGGTACAACAAGGACTGGTCGGCTCGGAGTCAGTTTAATGTGTCTGAGTGGGGTATTCATGCTTCACTGCGGCATGGTATCTCAGTGGGCTAGCACTATAAAACCAGCTTCAGTCTGGGCTAGTACAAGCAGCCGCACACACACGCACGCACGCATGCACGTTGTCATATGAGCGAAATATTCTTAAGCACGACGTTAATTTCACCCACCTCATTTCACCTCACCTCACCTATTACTTACAGTAGCCGTTGAGTCGCAATCCTTTGTTACTGTCATGTCATCACGTTTTATCTCATGGCATACGTTACATGGACGTCGTTAATGAATCGTGAAAATAGAACTAACATTTCATAAATTAGCCGATGTACTTGACCGTTCATTTAGTAGTGCATGTATTTGACTTGGCTAACATACGCGTCTTGGTACAAAAGACATCATAGTCGCTAACATATACTTTAATTTCATTCAAAAGGCTTCAACGGCAGCGAATATCATTAGAATACATGAAAACCTGCCCTACTATGTGGAAAGTATTCACGCTGGACAGAACATCGTTAATGCAGGACGGAGAACATCTATAATATAGACCGGAGAACACCCTTACTGCAAGCAGAGAACATCTATAATATAGACCGGAGAACACCCTTACTGCAAGCAGAGAACATCTATAATATAGACCGGAGAACACCCTTACTGCAAGCAGAGAACATCTATAATATAGACCGGAGAACACCCTTACTGCAAGCAGAGAACATCTATAATAATGCAAGCAGAGAACATCATATAATATAGACCGGAGAACACCCTTACTGCAAGCAGACAACATCTATAATATAGACCGGAGAAGCAGAGAACATCTATAATATAGACCACCCTTACTGCAAGCAGAGAAACATGCAAGCAGAGAAAACATGTGTAGAAAGAAACATGGTCCGATTCAAACATAAATTTCTTCACTGTTACACCGTTGAAAAGCTACAATGTTTAAGTAATAAAGAGAAATATAGAAACAGTCTATATCGTTACCTGGTTCATCCCTAACCCACTAAAAAATTTCTTCACTGTTACCCACCGATGCCCCAGATATAAATCCGATCACATTTATTTAATTGCAGGAATAGCTTTTTTGGAATATGTAGAAAGGAAATTATCGTGTGTTTATGATTCCATGAACGTTTCCGCCAACCGAGATCCCTAAATATTAATTTCCGAAACGGATTTATATTGCTGATAATTACAATTTACATTGCATCAATAATAATCTTAAATTCTGTTCAGATAATTTCTTTAAATGAAACGTGACCTCAGTGGATTATGCCCATATCATTGACATTATCCCAAGAGTAGTCAGACTCGTAATGACGTATTTAATGTCACTTGAAGCAAATGTTGCGGATGATATTCAATTTACAGCTTTAGTTATGGTCTTAATTTGTCACTTGATCCTTAACGAAGCTACTCAACACCATGGTGTTTCAATGTTTTCAATTAAATCAAACAAAACAGTACACATTTAAATGTGCGTTTTGGATCTGTGTCTTAACGTTATTACCTAACTAGCGCAACGACAAATATCAAATGTCTAATTATTTCAAATAAATATATTTTTAGTAGAAATGGATTTTTTTCAAAACCCTTCAAACAGGGAACACCCATGATTTGAAGTGTTTCATTAGTTGTGTGAGAGTCGGATTTAAAGGATATTATTTTTCTATGTTTTTCTCAGACAAACCGTTATCTTGATACAACTATCTTCCTTGACAACAACCGTGGTTCCGCCTTTCTTCGTACTGACATACCACCGTCGCTAGGTTACACTTTGTCTGGGAATCAATTCGTGATTGAATTAATCTCAATCAAGGACATATAAATCCTTACGGAAATGTTTGTAGATGTAGTGTGTAGTCATTTAGTTTCAATTAAACAACATAGCGAGATTATTTCAATTCAATGCGTATTGCGCTGATCGCAACGCATTATTGAAATATCGATTATTGACATCGCTAACATGCGTGACTATCGATAGATTTTAAGCAGTGAAAAACACACCCATACTTTACCGTTTCCTGTCAGTTTGAACATATGAACCAATATTAAAATTTACAAGCAGTATGTATACATAGCTAAGCAAGTTCTGTAGTCATCAGTCAATTGAACCCTACAGCGAACATCCTAGGTTTGATTATCTTCTGAAATGATATTAAATCGTTACAATTTTATGTTAGGAATACCACCACTGAGCTGTTGTATAGTATATAGTATATAATCTTTAAATCCATCGTTGAACTATTGCAATAGTCAAGTTAGGTCACCCACAGATTCAATACGTGCACAATTATTGCAATATAATTGCTATGGTATGGTACATACTTTTACCTTCCAACAACGCAGATGTTCCTGATTGCAACACGCTCACAATGTTTGTGACTTATATGTCACAATCAAAACATTTTGAAAATACTGACGGCGTTTTTAACCCCCCCCCACACACGCACGCGCACATACATACGCACGCATGAGCGCACACAGACACACAGATGTGTACTTTCTTTTGTACGTCAGTTTAAAGGTCACATGCAACCAAAAAATCAAACATAATTAAGACACAATTATCACTTATTCATGACATGTAATATACATTGCTGATTATGAAAAAAACACATATAAACAAAATTATAAGCGTACAATCGCAAATCAAAAGTGCAATATTTTGTACTTGGGTTTACTTCCCTAGAAACGAAGCAGCCGGGATACCGAACCCAGTCAGAGCGGGTGGGTGTGCGCTCAAGTGTAACGGCTGGTTCATTTGCAGATGCCCTCACGGCTCATTGTGTGTGTATATATAGAGATGTTGGGCCATAAATCAATGCGTTTTGTTTATGGGTGTTAAGTCCAATTGAATGTGGTCAGTGATCGCAGTTGTGTATTGAATATTGTCATTAGCAGACAGGCAGTCACACACATAGGTGTCAATAAAACAGACATTGAGTTTTGTCTGTGACAACGACATATCTATATCACACTTAGAAATTCTGTCAACTCTAAAAAATGACATTGCTTTTAAGTATCGAACTGAGAAAGTGACTCGGTAAGAAGAACGTGTGGTGAAATAGACAAATGAAATTATATAAACAGTTAAATCGGTAATCTACTGTCATAACATATAAAAAGCTCGCGCCCGTGAAATATCAACAAAACATTAGAAAAACAGCTCACATCAAAGCCTTCACCGAGTATTCACCGGACAACCCGCCTACAAGCTGCGCGAACCTATTTCACTTTGCATGTGCTGTCAGACAGACAGACAGACAGACAGACAGTTTATTCTCAAGAGAACCCACCAACGGTGGTACATGAGAAAAGTACAATATAAATTCGCATATGATAATATAATCAATCAAGATGACAGCAATATAAGGTAAATACATATATATAGTGAAATTTTCAATGAAATATGACAAAGTAAGTTAGCAATATTCTCATGCAGCTGCAACTAGTCTGAAGATGATGTTGATGAATTTAGACAGGTCTTTTACATTTTTTACTCTGGTGCTAGATAAACATTTTTTAGCTTGAACATATTAGGCCATTCGTAGAGATCTTTACGTATGTGTATAGACCGCGGCTGGAGAAGGGCTTCACACCTGAACAGGTAGCCCAGCTGTTGAAACCACTTTTTCCCCAAGAGCTAGGGGAAAATTAGTGAATCGTTTGAACTCCGATTTCGCGCGTTTTTTTTCATCGCGTTATTTTTCAACTTTATA